GTCTGACAGGACCTGCCACTAATGAACCCATGTTGGTTGCCCCTAAGCATAAGCTCCCCTGCTGGCCCCTCATGGACATGCCAGAATAATTCTCTCAAAAAGCTTCCCCAGGATTGAGGTAAGACTAACTGGCCTATAGTTTTCCGGGTCCTCCTTCCTCCCTTTTTTGAAGGTGGGAACCACATTGGCCCTCTTCCAGTCCTCTGGCACCACACCAGAGCACCACAGTGCTTGTAAAGTTGTGCCAGGGGTCCCGCAATGACCGCAGCCAATTCCCTCAGTACTCTAGGGTGGAGATCATCCGGACCAGCTGATCTGAACACATCAAGTCCCTCCAGAAGTTCCCTGACTAGATCCTCACTAACCCCTGGCCTAGGTGCGCCTCCCCCGGGGTCTAAGGGGGGCCCAGAGGGGGGGTGGCTGTTCCGGTCCCTGCTCAGGAAAATGGAGGCAAAGAAATCGTTAAATGTGTTAGCTTTGTCGTCTGGTGTGACGACCAAATTTCCTAGCATGTCCTGCAGGGGCCCCACATTACCCGGAACCTTCTTTTTGCCCCCTATGTATTTAAAAAAGGACTTCTTGTTGTCCTTGATCCGGGAAGCTAGTCCCAGTTCCATCTCTGCCTTGGCCTTCCTGACTGCCCTCCTGCATTCAAAAAGCCCGAGGCAAAAATCGATTTAAGTTATGCAGGTTTCTGCAAGCAGTGTAGTTTAGATTGGTAGTGAACGGATCACACATTCCCCCTTTGGTAGGGGGCAGCGGAGGACAGGGGCAACTCTTAGATTTGGTTCCGCCCTTTTAAAACTAGCCTGTTCATGCCAAACTTCTCTTCTGTTACAGGTATAGACTATTTCTGATCACTTTTACCAGTAAAAGGGTAATGTCTATATCTGGCCTTATTGTACATTTGGACTCCAAGTCCATTTAGTACACCAAAATTAACAAAACCTTTTCCTTGGAGTCCCTCCCATGGCAAGGATATTGTATCAGCTACCTCCCTTCTCTCTCAACCTAAACAGAAGGGTTGAGGGACTAGAGAGGATCATGCTGCTGCCTGCTGCATTGAGAAGCCTTGAATAGCATCTGCGGGTAATGGCAGAAGCATTAAGTTTTTTGCATTAAAAGTCTCCTGAGTGCTTGGTTGTGGTTTTAGGGAGGAGGGACTGTAGGGGGCCTGGAAAAATAGCTTCCCTTTGCGATGTTGAGACAGATATTCCTTCTCTGAAGCTTGTAGAAAGGAGCAAACTGAAAATGAATAGTAATCTGGAGTCACTGAGACAGAAGTAATGGGAGGGGGGTAGGAAAACAAAACAACAAGCATTTTGCTCCTTGTTTTCCACTGAAATGGAATGATCAGGCTTAACTTACAAAAAGCAGTGTCCAGATCAGTGGGTGGCCACATGAGTACTACCACAGTCTAAACCTGTTCAGGCTTTGACCACTTTGAGACTACCAAAACTGAGACCATCAACTGCAACGGTGCAGCCTGTTTCCAGAATGACATGGACATCACCAATCTTCGAGTAGGGCAGGGGCAGCTAAACTTCCTAACCCTTGTAGCATCAAACCAAAATATAGGACAAAACTTATAAGAACCTTGACACATGCACCTGACTTTCTACACAAATCACATACCGAATTAGGCACATCATAAGCAACTCCCTTGCCAAAGACAGGTGTGGTTAGACGAGAGTATACATCCTCTGCATTCAGGTCTTCATTTTTACTGTTGAACAGCAGAGAAGCAGCATCGCTACCTAAGAGATATGTAAATGTCTTGCCCACCATAGTGAAACTAAACACAGGCCCATACTGAGGAGAGAAAAAAAAAATGTTACTTTTAAATAATGAGAACTCAAGGTATAAACCACTAGGTAGAGGCTTTATAAAGGGCTATAATTCGTTCATATATCTGAATATGAATTATAACCCTTTATAAGGCTCTACATAATGGTTTATACCCTGGTTTCTAATGATATATTATACACACACACAGCTCTATTTAACTACAGCAATTTCTGTGATGAAGACATCACAATTAGACAACTGACAAGTATCCTGAACTGCTCAACTACATATGGGAAGAGGGAAAAAAAGTCTGGCAAGAAAAATCAGCCTTTAGGGATAAACACCTGGCTCAGTTAATATACTAACATTTGTTGTTATGGTTAAATATAACTAATAAAAGATGAATGTATTGTTTTTCCAATTTACACTGACCATATAAAATGCAGCCAGACATACAGCATCCCACTTCCACTAATGGATTTTTAACTCAAGAGGAAAGTTCATTTTTAAAACAGAAACTAGAGGTGCACTGATACATTGGTCCATATCGTATCAGCAACGATAAAAGGAAATCTGACATTACTGGCAAATCGGTCTTTTTGGCTGATGTGGCCAATACGGTCACTGGTAGATGTTGCATACATGCACGCGGCCAGGAATGCAGCATGGAGAGTAGTGTCAGGCTAGTAAGTCTGTGGGAGGGAAGGGGTATGACAGGGGGCAGATCAAGGCATCGGCAAGTAGGGAGGGAGTGGAGCTTGGGTTGAGGCAGGAGCAGGCACTGCACAGCTAGGGTGAGGCAGAGTGCAGGATAGAGCTGCAGGCGACGGTCTGGGCAGGGTGTGGGATGGAGCTACCGCTGTGCATGTGCCCCCCGGAATGTGCACAGGGAAAAGGCAGGCAGCACTGGGCTCTTCCCAGCAGGGGCTGGGCCAGGGATGTGCTCAGGGCAGGTAGACCACTGAAGGGGTCTACAGCGAATTTTGGAGTGACTGTAACCCACCCCATAGCACCCCCTCCCAGCGTCGCCACTGCCCAGCCAGGTCTGAGGGCAGCCCTGGGCCAGGCCCCACCAGGAGCAGCCCAACACAGCCTCCAGCCCAGGTGTGGGAAAAGTGTGGCCCGTGGGCCGGATGTGGCCCGCCAGACCATTCTATCCGGCCTGCAGGGCCCCTAAAAATTTAGAAAATTATCTGCCCCAGGCTGCCTGTCATGTGGCCCTCTATGGCTTGCGAAAACTCAGTAAGTGGCCCTCCACCCAAAATAATTGCCCAGCCCTGCTCCAGCCTCAAGCGCACAGCAGCAGCCCACCACCACCCCACTACCCCGCATACCTCCCCCACACGAGCCACAGCTCCATCCCACACCTTGTGCCACCCCAGCTGTGCAACACCTGCCCCAGCCCCACTCCTTCCACCCCACAGGCTTACCAGCCAGACGCTGCTCTCCAAGCTGACGGTCTGCATATCAGCAATCAGATCACTATTGGCTGATATGCCTGCTTAATCACTGGCCATCGGTATCAGCCCAAAAAATCTTTATCAATGCACCCCTAACAGAAACATATACATTAAACCAAAAATTGACAGGGTTCATATGCCTACGTTTAAGCAATGAAAACCCTCATCAGCACTTCTAAAGTTACTAGTTTTGGAAATATGTCATGTTTATGTAAAAAATAAATAAAACAAAATCACCAGGACAGTGGCTTTTAATGTCTTGCCACATGCCACAATTCAGATACTCAGCATGCCGTCTCAATGCCCTGAAGCCAACCGTGCCAAGATTCAAGCTTTGATTCCAGAAAGACTAGGTCAGGAGTGCTCAACCCCCAACTTGTGGGCCAGATCGGACCCTTGTCGCCTGGGCCCCAGCAATGCCATGCCGGGTGGTGTGCAGCCCCAAGCCCTAATCCTGGCATGGGGGGGTGGGGCCAGCCAACGCCAAACGGGCCCCCACCTGTATGTGTAGGACCAGGCAGGGGCAGCACAGGGCCCAATCCGACCCGCAGCCTGGCCCCAAAGCTGCTCACCTGGCCCAGGGGGCCAAAAGGTGAAGCACCCCGGGTCGAGGCAATCAGCCCAGCTGGGCTGCACCATTATTCCTGGCCGGTGCCACTTTTCCTGGCAGGTGCAGATCTGGCTGGGTCCATCCCATCTGGAGCAGCATGCGGCTGAAGCCGGCTTCCTACGTGCTGCTGGGGATGGGA